CCCCAGAGCACATACTACAGTACTGCCCTAACCTCTCCCAGCAAAGACTGTGGATCTGGCCCAAAGGAGCCACATTGCAAGAGAAGGGTATGGGGGACCGGTGGCGACCTTAAACGCACAATCTTATTTGTGACCCAGACGGGACTCAATGTTTAGCATGACTTATATCGAACGCAGAAGAAGAAGAAGAAGAAGAATAAGAAGAAGAAGAAGAAGAAGGACGGTGCTGTTAATGAAATATGTTATAATTGAACAGTGTAGTTAGTGGTATAATGTGACTTCTGCATAGTGCTTTCGATATAATTTTTTTTTGGGGGGGGGGGGGGGGGTGTGAAGAAAAGGGGGTGGGTCATTTTATATTTTAACGGCGCATAATTGCTGAAAGTACATCTAAGAGGTGTTATGTGGAGTATAAAGCTGCTTTGAAACAGTGGTCTTTATGTATTACTATATTTAGACAGTATTTTTCTTCTTGGGGTATATAAAAATGTTAAAGAGTTGAGTTCGTGGGATATGTGCAATATGTTATCATTTATGTCGAGGAATAAATAGGACATTATCATCATCATGTGCCCTGTCAACTGGCGTAGGCGCTCATGCGTCTCCACAGATCACGATCCCTGCAGATCACGATCCCTGGCTGCTTGGAACAGCTCTCTTGATGATATCCCTCCATGCCATCGTTTCAGCCCATCCAGCGTCATCTCTCTTGGTCTGCCTCTACCCCTTTTCCCACTGATCATCCCAGTTGTCACGATGCTCTCCCATGTCTCTCTTCTCATTATTTGGCCTAAGAATAGCTTTGTCTCTTTTTTTTTATAAATAGGACATGAAAACAGTTTTCTTGTTGGAATTTATATGACATTTCAGCCGCCCAATTTGTGTTATATACAACTCACTGTAACTGTTCGGTTTGTGGGACATATTTTATACACGTGTAAAAATGCGATTTCTGGGATGTTGTCTACAAATTAACAAAGATATGACTACCGGTTGCACAATTATACAACTGTTAAGTAATGAATGCTTGGATTTTACGAAGTAAATCTACAGTCAGTTTAACAAATCAAAGCGACACATCAGAATTCTACGACTTTACCAATCGATTTTATTACAACTCACCGTCCGGTTTATTCCCCGCCATTTTATATCCTCAAAAGCAAAACGTACAACTGCAAGTAACGAGACAAGAACGAGGTCTTTCTCGTTTTGGCGGTGGCGCTGACATCCGAAATATACGTGCCCACAATGGATCCCTCCCGGATATCTGTCACAGAAACTCAAATGCCAGTCCTCAGGTATTCACCAACACCCGTCTTGTAGACTCGGACTTGGGCGTCCAGCCTGTTCTGATTGTACAAAATAAACCCAGGCAGAAAGAGGTTGGGTTTCTGGATGAAGTAAACAACCAGGGTAGAAGTGAACCAGTGCCTTCAACTCGCAATAGAATCATGTCTGGGGGTCATGACCAAAGTCAGAAGATGCAGCTAAGAAAGCCGGTCCAGCGAACTTCATCTGCAGCGCCAAAACTGCAGCAAGTCACAGACTGGCTGAATGGCAATGATTTCACACACAGTCAGGGCGCCACGTCTCAAACTAGGATCGTCAGTGAAGCAGCTGACGAGGAATTCAGCGAACAGTGCCACCAAGAGACATTTACATTAGATGCAGCTTTCCTTACAACACCCATATTGTTCTCGTCAACCCGACATCCCTCTTCTCCACCACCAACACCACCTCCACCACCACCGCTGCCTCACTCACCAACATCACCTCAACACGAGCCCTTTCCACCACCTCCACCACCCCTAGCAGCGCCTTTTCCTCCACCACCACCTCCTCTTCCCCCATCTGGGATAATCCCAGCAATCCGAAGACCAGACGACATTGTCGGTACAGCAAAACCTATTGTTCACGTGCCCAACACGCCTTTACAACAGAGGATGGCTTCACCTGAAGCATCATCGATGCCTAAGCTTCTGTTCTCAAGCAAAATGGCAGCAGACAAGAAACACCAGAAGAAGCAGGACCGCCCTCCCTCAGACTCGAACCCAATAACGCCGTCAGAAAAACGTTATGCAAATTTGGTTGATTCCATTTTCTCAAATGCTTTTGGCTCTGAAAGCGGGGGTTCTGAAACCCCTACATGTGTTAGCCACTCATTTGACTATGCTAATAGTGTTGATAACCACACGGTGGTCGGGGGCTCAAATACGCAACCGGTTTTTGGTAAAGGCGATGGTGTAGCTTCGCTGATTATAGAGTTAAAAGATAGACTCAAAGCTAGAGGGCAGTTTAATGACCAGTCGGAAGATTACAAAGACCAGGAGACATCCATAAACCAAGCAGCAGTCGACACCACCCCGCGTGTTGCAACATTCACAAACCCCGCTGCTCCACTGCGGCGTTTGCCTGGACTAAATGTTATGTCGCTCACCAACAGCCCCCCTCCCGTGCCCCTGACATGTCCCACAAGTAAAACTGTTACATTTAACGACCATCTCTCTCTGGACACGCCTATGCAACGTTCCTATTCTGCTACGACGAAGATCACAGAAACGCCCCTGATTGGCACAACCTTACCTATCGACAGAGATGGTGACAGTGACTTTGCAAAGAACGATTGTATAATCAGCAGCAGTAAAACTGTCCAGATTAATGAGTCACCTGATAAACCGTTAGACTGGACTTATGGGTCCAATTCTGGGGCACAACACACAGTTCAAGTGAAGTATTCTTCAGTGGGAGGCTGCGAATCAGCTCATATTCATTTAGCACCCTACGCTAAAGAGGCTGTCCCTGAGCCTCAGGGAGCAGCGTGGCGGCAGATTGAAGCAGCAGCAGAAGGAAGGTACTGCGGGACGAACAAGATCCATGGCGGTTTGTCTGAGTCTCAGCGTGCAGGAGGACAAACAGGTAGGGGCGATGACAAGTCTGGTGGCTGGGCCAACTGTGAAACAAACACCGCGGACCGTCTACAAACAAACGGGAGATTTTTAAATAACAATGCACTTCAAACTTCGCTTGAACCTGTGCACACGGCGAGCCCAAGCGTTTGCCTTGCCAGGCCCCGAGAAATTCCCGAGCAAAGACGTGAGGGATTAAACCAGGATTTACATATAGAAAGCATCGTTTTGCATAATAAAAACGTAACCAGTTCCCTTACACATCACACGGCGGTGAAAGAAGCGATATATGGGTCATTGCCAGAGGCTGGAAACTTTGGTAATATCACATCGTTTGAGGAGAACCTTCTATTCGATGACGTCAGTGCAGGCGATGTTAGGGGCAGGTCATTTTTCAGAGGCGAAATTGAAGTAGAAAGCTTCGGAGCAGGACACAGTGTCCATAATTCTCAGTTTCTTGAATACGGGTCCGGTTTTGGTGACATTAATCACGTGCCTTCACCAGACGACGGTAGTAATTTAAGACAAGATTACCTGGTCCAACCACGTGATTCAGGCGAACCAGCTGATTTGGTGGTCGTGGCTCCACGAGGCGTGCAGGCACACGGGGAATTCAACTACCCGCCCCGCTCGCGACAAGAAGCGGTAGCTCCGACCACTAGGCCCCAACTGTCCCCTGCCTCCACACACACACAACATTCCACACGGCTCTTGTCACAATGGGAGGGTAACACACACCTTGCGCACGACTACCTGAACGCTGGAGACAATTCACGGTCGTCGGTGTGTGAACAAGCACATCAACACAAGCAAAGACTTGACCCATTGAGTAGGTTCGGCTTTCACGAGGATGTAACCGTCTTTAGCAACCACATTTTCTCGTCAAGAGATCATAATTTTGGGAGCACCAGCGATGTATTTGCTGATACACAACGTTCACCACATTCTTTTCAATTCCCTGTGGATAATAGACCAAATGTAGTTAATTCAGGAAACAATTTTGACGATTTTTCAGCATGTGTTTCTCATGTGGATGGTAACGTGGTTAGATTTGAAAGAAACACTTCTGTAGCTACACACAACCAGGTAAGTTGTTTACCCAGTGATAGTTTTGGATGTGACGATCATAATCCAGGTGGGCATAAGAATAAAATTGTTCGAATCGTCGACGATGATAATTTTCATGAGGATTTAAGTGACAGTATATCAGACTGGACCAGCTCATCCTCATCTGACAGTGACACAAACCTCCAGAGGTTTACCTCGCCGGCCATCAGTCAGAAAACATTTAATGCCATATTTGCTCACGGGGCCAAAGTCTCGCTGCGAGCACGCGCAGACCGGACCTTGACCGGAAGTCACCATAACCTGATATCTGCTTATTACGCTCACTACAGCGGCGAAGACGACGTGAAGAAAAAGGGGGTTTCTGGACAGTCTCGCTCAGCCCCGAGTTCTTCCAGGAAAAAGACAGGGAAAGAACGTTCTGGAGGAGTCAACAAAAAAGTTTTTTCTAAAAGTTTCTTTGATCTGCGAAAATCTTCATCGACTGGTCCTGTCTATACAGAATCTCGAGTCTGTAACAAAATAAACGATAGCACTACGAACGATGGCCATGCTTCTCCCACAACCATCAGCGTCTCCAGCAACAACAACGATTCTAAAGTAGTCAGTACCAACAAGAAAGTGCACATCAGATCGTCAGACGGAGACATCACCGTCAACAGAAGCACCATGTTGGGCACTAATAACCACGACCATGAGATGCTCCCCCCATCAGCCGCTAGTTCATCAAACAGAAAGAACAATGGCTACCCCTCAGGCTCGCTACTTCGATCAAAGAGCCTGTTTTCCAGCACTCCCTCTCTCTTTACGCGATCCACTCCAGAGGAGAAGTTCTGGAAGAAAGAAATCAAAAGAGAAAAGGAAGAGAAGAAACGAATGGAGGAAGAGAGGAAGAGACTTGAAAAGGAGGAGAAGAAGAGGACAAAAGCTGAGAGAAGATCAGCAACGGTTTCGCCCAGAAACATCCCAAAATCTTGGGATTATGTGCCACGAAGTATTGAAGAAGTCTACATGCGTCCAGCCTTGAGAATGACCGCAGTACCCATAGACTACATCGATAACCAGCACTCACCACCCGGCTACCACCCTCCTCCACCTCCTACTCATGTAGGGCACTATGCCATTCCACACGTGTCCTTGAGGTTACCGTATGGGGATACGAGAACTGCAGCAGACATTACAAGGGTGGAACAAGTTTATGGGACTACCAATCGCCGACCTCACGTAGTGCAGGTAAACTCCCACTACATGGTGCCATTTGGAAACCCCGGACCCAGGTTTGTCTTTTCTTACAAGTTGTTCGTTTTCTGTTTTTATTTACTTGTTTTCCTGTATTACCTTTATCAGTGATTCAGACTGTTGATTGTTTCTCAGTGTGTGCCATATCTTTCTGTATACGCTTTCTTGTCATTTCTCTTGCTGTTTGCCCGTCCTCATTGCTGCTACTCTTCCTCCCTTCTTCTTCTTTAACTTCTGCATGCACATTTAAAGGTCAGTGTTAATATATTTAAAGAAAGCAGCAATGAATTAGAGCTTGTTGACATCGCCAGAGCTGATAACATTCAGCTGGTCCGATGTAGGTACTGTGACCATAAATTTTGTTCTGAAAACGGTACATCCTGAGTCAGATTTTCAGTGTACATCAACAGGCAGAAAGGGTTAATTACTGTCTCTGCAGTTGTATTAAAAGCCGAAGCAATGTCAAGAAATAAACGAAACAATATTCTCTCTTACTGCACTTATAAAGACCATGCTACCTTGAAACTTCCACCAGCTCGTCTCGGGCATTAAAAGTATCTGATCTAGCGTATGTTTTGTTCCCGAGCTATTTCCTAGATCAGAGGTTCTCAAACTCTTTTTGCTGTAGCACCCTTGTCGGGTCCACAAATATTTTGTGGCACACCTACCCTTAATGCGGTTTGAATACTTAGGAAAACAAGAAAGAAACAGTGCAAGTTCAGTTGTCTTTAATGTAATGAATGAAACTGTTTGGATGAAGTTTTCATTACTTTCTTTATGGTTAAGGGAAGTTCAGTTAAGTGTACCCTTTCACCACTTGAAGGTTGCTCCTGTATCTGTTAAAAAAAAATGTAAACGTATATTGAGAATTCACTGCAGTTTTGTGAATACACCTGTATCCAGAAATCTCCTTGGCTTCCTTCACGGTATTTCTGTTTTAAACTGCTGTCTTCGCTGACCTCAAGCAGATTTTTATCAAAATTCCTGATTATTGCCCTGGCATAGGCTCGCTGCACGCCTGGATGCCGTTTGAGAACCACTGTCCCAGATGTTCATAAAACGTAACAACTGCCCCCCGCCCCCCCCCCCATTTTTTCAGACAGCCAAGGGATCATCGAAGCGTATGGTCACCCTAGAGGAGGGCTATTCAACTGGCGGAATGTGGGCCAAATCTGGCTCCTGGAAGCCTAGCAAGTGGTCTGCGAATCATCTCCAGTTGTATTAACGATACCTCTATGCTGGGCCTCTAGTCTCTGAACCCCGACGATCCCTATTAGATGTAGGGCAAACTCATATTCTGCGCTATACATGTGTTGTGTCAGTAGATGTGCTGTATCAGCTGTATCTGTAACTCTGATATCCCAAGGGAAAGGGTTGACATCAAATAGACTTTAAGGTGTTTGGCACAATTGCTAAGGCACAAAAGTAGTTAAAATTAGTTCGAGGTTTGAACTAAGGATCAACAACATGGGACACCGGTAGTAACTCATAAGTGCTCCGTTCTTCTTCTAACTCAAGGCTGAGTCCGAAGAAGCTCAGCACAGTGCACATGCTCTGTAGCACCGGCCAGGATCCTGAAATACTTTGGGTAGATTTTAAACTCCAAATTTTGCCCGGACGGCGCCGTTAGGCTAGGCTACTCTTTTCAATTTCCAACTGCCAAGGGATTCTTTTTACGTGCGGAACAATACACACGTGCGTCTGATCTTGGTACCCAGAGACCAGGGGGAAACTACTTAAAGTACACATGAACAAAATCACATCCTTCACCGGTGCTCGAACCCGGGACCTCCAGCACTCGAGGCAGACGCCATGCTTCGAGACCAATCAGTCCTCGACTTACTGTCTAGTAATTCCCTACCAAATCTCGCAATTGACGAGATGGGGTTTAACAAATCTGACAAGAACTGGCCGGTGTAAATGAGATTCAGATACGTACTATATGTACATATGCCGCGTTGCTGTTTCTATGATTTGTGGTAAGCTCTGGAACACTTATGGTGACATCAGAGACATCTGTCTGTGCCGGAAGTGATCCTGCGACAACTTGAAACTATCCAGTACAAACGCTGCTCCGATTGATTCTACAAACAGACGAGGTCACCTGCTGACAAAAACATGGCAACCACCTGTCCAGTTGTTTGGCTTAGTTTTATCTGGACACTTGACCTTTCGCGTTTGGCCTGGAGGTCTCGAGTGGATTTGTGGAGCTTATCCCTGTACACACCTGCTCTAATGGCGAACACGCAGAGTTTGAAAGGGCTGTCTATCTGGGCGGTCGGTCTTTAACGCGTTGTAGCATTATGGCAAAGCATTGCACGGGTCCCATCCACAAAACTGCCTAGGATTTGTGCTGTGGAGAGGAAGAACTTTATCCGTGGCCTTATTCATAGGCCTCCATATAGCACAGAAATTAATCCAACGACGTGTTACTAAACGGCTCAACGAAAGGAGATGGAGAAACAACGTACACACAATTCGACGTTTCGGCAGAAGCCTTTTTCGGCATGAACTAAATTAACAGTAGAAGAAACAAAGGGCAGAGAACTCTAACCCCAACCAGGGAATCACATGAAAACGTTTTCTCTATAAGTAAAAGTAAAGTAACGGACCTTTTGCATTTGGCGTTTAGGGCATAAAGGTCATATAGGGTTAGACCTTTATTTTTATAGACCAATCAGCACAAGATGGGTGATGTGTTTAGCATTACTCCGGCCGCCTTTACTTCCCGGGACTGCACCCGGTATCCACTCGACCACTGGGTCGACCTGGGAGCCAAAGTCATTTTCTTTTCTCTATATAACCCAAATACTGTCGTCTGAAAAGACAGAAATGAGCCAGTAGGAAGCATTAAATCCCTTGAAATAATATTTTCTGAGGAGAGGTACATTGTGGAGATTAGAAGAATAGTAATAGCAAACAGAGCATTTGAGAAAAATTGAAAACACTCACCTATAGAAAGACGACGAATGCCGCGTGGAAAAGATTTGGTTGGTGTGGGTGTGTGAGAGAGACTGTTTAGTTTTTTGGGTACCAACTTTGTGCTATCAGTGACAGGCATGGACAGTCCTAGAAAAGCATAAACGCAAAATTACAACATGTGAGATGAGATGTTTAAGAAATGGGTGGGGAAAAAAGAAGAAGAGCACAGGAGAAAAAGATCACGACGTGCGAAATGAGATGCTTACGAAAGGCTGCCAATGTCACAAGGAGAGACAGAGTTCGAAACGAGAACATTAGATCAATTGTAGGAACCACACCATGCCTGCAATACATAAAGAAGCAACAAATAGAGTGGTTTGGCCACTTGATGCGAATGCAAACCGACCAACTGCCTCTACGAGCATACAACGAACAGCACTACTGCCCTAGAGCAAGAGGCAGACCGAGAGTACGATGGATAGACAATATATCAGAGATCCTGAGGCAACACGGACTAACAACAACACGTGCAACACACCTGGCCCAGGACAGAAAACTGCGACTCCCCACTACGCTGTGAGGCAATTGTGGACAAGACAAGACAGCGGTACCAAAGAATTACTAAGAACAACAGTAGGAACAATAAACAACAATAAACAGCTAAGTTCCGGTGAAAGATTTCATAGAACATCAACGCATCGAATGGTTTGGTCATCAGGTCAAAATGGAATACAGTCAGCTAGCATTTTGTGCCTACTAACTGAGAACAGAAAGCTACAAGGCAAGAGGCTAACCAAGAAAGACGTGGGTGGAGAGTGTAAAAGATACAAGACAGAAAATCAGTATGACATTAGCACAAGCTTCGCAACTGGCAAAGGACATCTAACTCCTTTCTGTGACGATTTGCAGCATAAGCAGTAGGACAAAAGAAGAGAGAGCGAGAGAGACAGACGGACAGACACACACACTGTATGCATGTGAACAGTAAAGTACACTGGCTGGGAAACAGTAAGTGGCAGGCAATGGAAATGTCTGTAAGAAACATGTAACAAAAAAGTAATCTCTTGACAGATCAACAAATAAATATGTTGAATTAGGAATTAACATCATAGCAATCTGGGACAGTCCCATAAGTGCACCGTCTCCATTTTCAGCAGCAAGCGAAGACTTTCAATTGCGTTGGTACCAGTAACCGTCTGATAGTATATCCGTCTCATCCTTCCCCTGGGTTCAAAGCGTCGGCCAGATCCCCTGGTAACTCCTCGCAGCGCCATTCTTCTTAGACCATAATAATCTATCTGCGCCTCCACGCTGTTCACTCGTTCCCAAAGGGCCCGCACAATATCTGACTTATCATACATCAGTTCACCACTAAGTGATGCAGACTCAGTCAGTCTATCTGCCTGCTCATTTCCCAACAACACACCGGCATGATCTGGAGATAATATCCAAAGGATGCTAACTACCCAAGACATCTGAAGTGATGCTTGCCACTCTGCACGAAGCATGCCTGTCTTCGCCTTTCTGAACGTGCTCTGTGAGTCAATTAAACACATGAAGTAATCCTTTAAGGAGAAGCAAGAGTATGACAACCGTAAACTGGGTCGAGAATTGAGACGTGGACACAATTTCAGGCATGTTCATTAGAATCAGAGAGAAAACAGCAGTGACAAACAGCAACAGAGAAAGACAAAGGTCTCGCTAAACTGTATAGTCTGTTTGCTTACCAAGGCAGTAATCCCTGTTCATTCCCAAACGGGACCCGCGGTGGTGAAGCGGCAGACACTTGCCTCCGCTCCCAATGTCAAGAGTTCCTTTTAAAATCGAACTAAATTTTATTTTCGAAATGACTTTGGTGGTTCCCAGGTTGACCCAACAAATTATACTGTTACCAGGTAAAGTCATGGGAAATAAAGGGGGTCGGCGTGATGGTGTTTAAATCATCCACCAAGGACCAATGTCTATTTAAATATGAATCTAATACCACATTTTCGATGCCACAGTCGTGCGAAAAGGTCCTTGGCCTACTTTAGGGTCATAGTCGTGAACCTCCAGCGTATTAGGCTTTATCCTTGGCTAGTCTAGTCCGGCAAGGTCTCATGCCATCCTCACACTG